TTTTAATTTTAACTTCTCAATATACATTGTAGTTGATTTTCATGTCCCTTTACCCTTTCCTCTTTACCCTCCTGCTCCTCCCCCTCCCCCTCCCCCCACCTGGCCCTGTGGGCCCCAAAGGCAGACAGGTCTGAGACTTGGAACTGACAGAAGTGGCCTGTCAGCCTGTCCTCTGCCAGCTCTGGGCCTGCCACCAGAATCCCCACCCCTGGCCGACACAGAAACCCCCCTCTCTAGCTCACCATCTTCTCCCCTTCTCCGTCTGAGGAGAGGTTGGGGGCCTGGGGACTCCACCCCAGAATCCTGCTCTTCCTTTCCCCTCCTTCCTGGAGGAAAGGGTGGGGTGGGGCGGTGGTCAGCGCTGTAGCTCCAAAGAGGAGCTTTCAGGGACGTTTATCATCAAGCCGCTGGTGGATTTTTTGTTTATTTGGGGCACCTTGGGTAGAGCTGGGGGAGCCCAGCTGAGCTGCCCTGCCAGCCAGGAGGACATGGGGCCAACTGGGATGGTTGTTGGTGGTGGGGGCCGTCTGAGGGGTGGTGGGCTGTCAGGACAAGCCTATACTTACTGGTAGAGGCATACACTGGAGATTCCAGCATCCTCAGGTGGGGGATTCTTAGGGGCTGGGATCCGCTGTGCAGCTGAGGCTTGTCAGGGCTGCTTAACTGGGGTAGGGGTGCAGCTGCTCTGCTCCCACCTAGAGACTCCCCTCCATCTCCCATGTGTGGATAGGTCAGATGGCCTGGGTTCAAATTGCAGCTTGACCACCTGACAGCTCCCTGTCCCATGGAGCCGACTGCTTGCTGAGAAGAGGGGAGATGCCACAGGTAGGAAGTGTCCTGACCTGGCCCTCCTGATGTCCCCCTCCCCTGCAGAGTGCAGCAGCGGCCCCCAGCCCAGTGATGGGGAGCATGGCCCCCAATGATGCAATGGCTGCAGGCCCCATGGCAACCAGCTTCTTCCAGGTATGGCCATGGCTGGGGCTCCTTTTCCCGCAAGCCAGGCAGGCCTGTGTCTGAGGGTAGGGGTCCCACGTGGAGAGGTCCTGAGACCGGCAGGCTGGAGTCGGGTGTGAGGGCTGTCGGTGCAGCAGGTACGCACGCGCTCGCCCGCCTTAGTGGGGCCAGGGAGGGAGGGGCTCGAGGACAGTGGACATTGGGGGCTCTGCACTTAGAAGTAGTCCCAGTGACCACCGGTGCCACAATCCTGCCCACGACTCTTCCTACCGGGTGCCCTGTCTGGGCTGGCCCATCCTATCTCCAGGAAGCCCTGTCCCCTTTCCTGGCTAGGCTCAGCAGGGCCACAGGAAACAGTGGGACTTCGGGTGGCCTGGCTCCCCGCAACCCACCTGGTCTGTCCTCCTAGGGGCCCCCGGCTCACAGCCGCCCCCCACAGCCCCAACACCCCCACCATGGGGCCTCACGGCCAGGTAAGGACCTGTGGCGCCCCCTCACACACACGCATCCCCTCCCCCTCCCGTCCTCCAGCCCCGCCCACTGCGCCTGCAGCTCTGGGCCCCCGAGCCTGCGGTTTGCTGGCTGGCTATGGAGGAGGGGGCTAACCAGGTTGGGGGCCCGGATGTAGCAGGAGTGGAGTAGCTTTGGGAGGAAGGGGGAGGTGCTGATCCCCCACCCACCTCTTCCAGCCCTTCATGTCACCGCGGTTCCCAGGGGGCCCCCGGCCCACCCTGCGGATGCCGAGTCAGGTGAGAGAGGGACGGGGGAGGGAGGACAGGAGTTGGGCCGGCTGGCGGTACCCCATACTCAGCGCTGCCGCGCCACTTCCACAGCCTCCCATGGGCCTCCCGGGCTCCCAGCCCCTCCTCCCTGGCGCCATGGACCCCTCCCCGCGTGCTCAGGGTGAGTAGAGGAGCTCAGGTGTTGTCCCTCCCACAGTCCGCCCCCCATCAGGATACTAGTTCAGAGTGCCCCATTCTTGCTGCCTCACCATGCAGGGCCCCCCGCCCTATTCATGTCATTCATGTCTACACTGCGGAGTGGCCCAGGCCTGAGCCCCCTTCCTTCTGCCCCTACCCCAGGGCATCCAAGCCTGGGCGGCCCGATGCAGAGGGTGACGCCTCCACGGGGGCTGGCCAGCGTCGGGCCCCAGGTAAGGGCTGGGCTCAGGTGGGGGTGGGGCTTGAAGGGCTGTCCCTGCTGTGCCTTCTCTCACTGCCCCTTTGCCTTCACAGAGCTATGGGGGTGGCATGCGGCCCCCGCCCAATTCCCTCGCTGGCCCAGGCCTGCCTGCCATGAACATGTAAGGAAGGCCTTTGGGGACCCCAGGAGTGTCCATGCAGGCCACCACTCAGTTTCACAGGCTGGGTGTGCTGGGGCAGTCCCAGAATCTTCAGTACGGTCCTGGATGCTGTTTATTTCACTATCACTGTTGGGAAACTGAGACCTGAAGTGGCAGTCTCCATAGCCAAAAAATCATCCAGTGGTGGGGTTGGGGTTTGAAGCCTGGTGGTCGGGAATCCACCCATGGTGAGCGATTCTCAGGCAACACCTGCTGCTCTGCCGCCTGTTTAAGGACACGTGGAGCAGGGTTGAGGGTGTCAGGGTGTGTGTGGTGGGGGTCTGTGTACCACCTGGCTTAGCCCCAGGGACAACCCATCATCTCTTCCAGGGGCCCAGGAGTACGGGGCCCATGGGCCAGCCCCAGTGGCAACTCGGTGAGTCTCAGGCAGGGTGGGTGCGGGCAGAGTGAGCAGCCTGTCCACTGGCCACCTGCTCACAGCTGTCCCTGTCCCCAGATCACCTATTCCTCCTCATCCCCCGGCGGCTACACGGTGAGTGGGGTGAGGCTGAGCGACGTGGGCAAGGGCTTCGAGTGGCAAATGGGGGAATTTCTAACCAGCCCTGTTTTCCTCCGCGTGCAGGGACCCCCAGGAGGAGGTGGGCCCCCTGGAACACCCATCATGCCCAGCCCTGGAGGTACGGCCTGGACGGGGGGCGGGGTGCTTGGGGGAACGCCCTCACGCCGCGCCCTTCACATCGCCTCCGTCTGTCCTAGACTCCACCACCTCCAGCGAGAACATGTACACCATCATGAACCCCATCGTGCCAGGCGCCGGCAGGGCTAGCGTGAGTGGGAGGTGCAGGGTGTTTGTCGAGGCGGTGAGTCCAGCAGGAGGGAGGGTGGACCGAGGCCCACGCTGTCCCTGTGCCCGCAGTTCCCGCTCGGCGCCGGCCCGGAGGGCCCCGTGGCCACCATGAGCGCGATGGAGCCTCACCATGTGAACGGATCCTTGGGTGAGTGGGCGTCCCAGGATACCGCCCCTTCCGATCCTCGAGGCCTGCTTTGCAGGCCTCGCGCGCCCCCTGGCGGCCTCACCGCGCCTGCTTGCGCTTCGGAGCGTCCGAACGTTTCCTGAGTCCTGTGGGCGGCCAAGTGACTGCTGCGCCGAGGGGATGCTCCAGGAACCCAAACCGGGGGACGGACTGCTGGTCCGGGGGTAGCTCAGGTCCCTGGGGCGGTGGGCCCAGTGGAGGCATGTCTGAGCCGTGTGTTTCGGTTCGCAGGCTCGGGCGACATGGACGGGTTGCCGAAGGTGAGGGGACCGCGCTCCCGCTAGGGGCGGGACCCAGGGGTCGCCAGGGCGGGGTTTCGGGGCCGGGCTGGCGGGGTCGGGGCCTGGCCCGCAGGACAGGGAGTCCCGCGCTGACCGCGGCCGC